GAAGCTTTGTTGGCAAAGTAATGTTTCTGCTTTTTAATATGCTGTCTAGGTTTGTCATAACTTTCCTTCCAAGGAGCAAGCGCCTTTTAATTTCATGGCTGTAGTCATCATCCACAGTGATTTTGGAGCCCAAGAAAATAAAGTCTGTTTTCATTTCCATTGTTTTCTCACCTATTTGCCATGAAGTGATGAGACTCGATGCCATGATCTTTGTCTATTGAATGTTCAGTTTAAAACCAGCTCTTTCACTATCATCAAGAGGCTCTTTAGTTCCACTTCACATTTGGCCATAAGGGTGGTGTCATCTGGATATCTGAGGTTATTGATATTTCTCTGCAGCAACCTGGTCCAGCATTTTGCATAATGTACTTTGCATAGAAGTTATGTAAGCAGGGTGACAATAGACAGCCTTGACGTACTCCTTTCCCAATCTGGAACCAGTCTGTTGTTCCATTGTTCCATGTCTGGTTCTAACTGTTGCTTCTTGACCTGCATACAGATTTCTCAGGAGGCAGGTAAGGTGGTCTGGTATTCCCAACTGCTAAAGAATTTTCCAGTTTGTTGTGATCCTCAGAGTCAAAGACTTTAGTGTAGTCAAGGAAGCAGAAGTAGATGATTTTCTGGAATTCTCTTGCTTTTTCTATGACCTAACAATGTTGGCACTTGGATCTCTGGTTCACTTTGTTTTCTAAATCCAACTTGAACATCTGGAAGTTCTCAGTTCACATACTGTTGAAGCCTCGCTTGGAGAATTTTGAGCATTACTTCGCTAGCGTGTGAGATGAATGTAATTGTGTAGTAGTTTGAACATTGCTTGGCCTTGCCTTTCTTTGGGATTGGAATGAAAACTGACCTTTTCCAGTCCTGTGGCTACTCCTGAGTTTTCCTAATTTGCTAGCATAATGAGTGCAGCACTTTCACAGAATCATCTTTTAGGATTTGAAATAGCTCAGCTTCACGAGCTTTATTCATAGTGATGGTTCCTAAGGCCCACTTGACTTCACATTCCAGGATGTCTGCCTCTAGGTGAGTGATCACACCATCATGGTTATCTGGGTCATGAAGATCTTTTTTTTTTGTATAGTTCTTCTGTGTATTCTTGCCACCTCTTCTTAATAGCTCCTGCTTCTGTTAGCTCCATACTGTTTCTGTCTTTTATTGTGCCCATCTTTGCATGAAATGTTCCCTTGGTATCTCTAAATTTCTTGAAGAGATCTCTAGTATTTCCCATTCTATTCTTTCCCTCTATTTCTTTGCATTGATCATTTAGGAAGGATTTCTATCTCTCCTTACTAGTCTTCGGAAGTCTGCACTCAGATGGATATATCTTTTCTTTTCTTCTTTACCTTTTGCTTCTCCTTTCTCAGCTATTTGTAAGGCCTCCCCAGACAACCACTTTGCCTTTTTGTGTTTCTTTTTCTTCAGGGTGGTTTTGAAAAAGCCTCCCCAACAACATTATGAACCTCCATCCATAGTCCTTCAGGCACTTGATCAGATCTAATCCCTTGAATCTATTTGTCACTTCCACTGTATAATCGTAAGGGATTTGATTTAGGTCATACTTGAATGGCCTAGTGGTTTTCCCTACTTTCTTCAATTTAAGTCTGAATTTTGCAATAAGGACTGTATGATCTGAACCACAGTGAGCTCCCGGGCTTGTTTTTGCAGACTGTACACAGCTTCTCCATCCTCGGCTGCAAAGAATATAATCAACCTGATTTCAGTGTTGACCATCTGGTGATGTCCATATGTAGAGTTGTCTTTTGTGTTGTTGGAAGAGGGTGTTTGCTATGACCAGTGAGTTCTCTTGGTGAACCTCTGTTAGCCTTTGCCCTGCTTCATTTTGTACTCCAAGGTCAAACTTGCCTGTTACTCCAGATATCTCTTGACTTCCTACTTTTGCATTCCAGTCCCCTTTGATGAAAAGTACATCTTTTCTTGTGTTAGTTTTAGAAGGTCTTGTAGGTCTTCATGGAACAGTTCAACTTCAGCTTTTTCGGCATTAGTGGTTGGGGCATAGACTTGGATTATTGTCATATTGCATGGTTTGTCTTGGAAATGAACAGAGATTATTCTGTTGTTTTTGAGACTGAGCCCAAGTACTGCATTTTGGACCCTTTTGTTGACTATGAGGGCTACTCCATTAGCTTTTTCTTTCTTTTTTATATATATACTATGTGCTATATATAAAAGTATTTTTTACAAGTATTGATGATATCAGGGTTTTTTTTTGTTTGTTTTTAGTTTTTCACAAGTGTGAGTTTTCTTTTTTACACTTAAAATCTGCCATGTTGGAATTAAACCGATAAAGAAAATTTTCAATTAAGTCTTAAAAAATTTTTTTTTTCACTGCAAAAGTAGTACAGAATACAATGAAGACTAGAATAAGGGGCAGAGAACAGATGCTCATAGAAACACTATCCTGAGACAACTCTGTGTTTCAATTTTTCTTTTTTTCTAACACCTCATAGGTGTCTTTTTTTTTAAAAAAAAAAGAAAAACATAGATGTGATCATACTGCATGATTAGTTTCATAATTTGTACCACTTAATGCTATATATTTTAAATTGTTACCTAAAATGCTACAAAGTATTTTTTACCACTTAATGCTATATATTTTAAGTTGTTACCTAAAATGCTACAAAGTATTTATAGCTACTTTTAAGACATTTAATTTCCACAATTTTTTTTGCATCTTGTAAATTGTGACACACAGTTTATGAATAAAACTTTTGCTCTATTACAGATTATTTCATTCAGCAAGAATCCCAGATACGAGATTATGGGTTACAAGGGTATGACCATTTTTATAGGTTGAATCACAGTGCCAAATTTTTTCTAAACAGGTTGTTTCTGTTTACACTCCACTCAAGATGTCTGTCAGCACCTTTTTAATCTCACCAGCATTGAATATTATCCTTCATTTAAATAGTTACTAATATGATAGCTGACTAAGTGTTACAATTTCTCCTCTGTTGCTGTTGAAGGGTATAGGATAAAATCAAGGCTGTGGAATCAAATGATACTGGGTTTGGTCAGATTCCCCAACTTCCTAGCTGTGTTACAGTGAGCAAATTACTTAACTCCTTTGAGGCTCTCTTTATCGGTTTTTAAAAACATCAATAATATTTACCTCAAACTCAGGGCTGTTGTAATTATTTTAAAAAGACAGTTTTATAAAGCATTTCACACCAGTGCCTGTCATGTGACAAATGATAATGAATTCATTTTCTGTTGTAAAAGTATGTTTGATTAGTGTACTATCTAGGACTTCACACAATAGTTTGACTATGCATGCAGCTTGTTGTAGAAGTCTGAAAAATCACCCGGATAATTGTTCCACCCCAGGGAGATCAGGGAGTAATCCTATGGTTAAAATAAGGCCCACACCTGGTTCCCATCTTTGAGGACTCTGCACTCTAAAGGCCTTAGAATTAACTCTTGGGACTTTTAATTGATCCAAGTGGTCTCAATTGTTCCACCCCAGGGAGAAGGTCAGAGAGTAATCCTATAGTTAAAAAAAGGCCCACACCTGGTTCCCATCTTGGAGGACTCTGCACTCTAAAGGCCTTAGAATTAACTCTTGGGACTTTTAATTATTCCAAGTGGTCTCAAAGGGCAATGGTGGAAATACACTGAAGAGTAAATTTAATGAAACTGATCAGAGGAGAGTTTCAGGAAAAAGCTATAGTCTCAGGGAAGACAAACAGTAAAGCAAAAAGGATACAAATTATTTGTTCTAGAAAAGTTGAGTACACTAGTGAGGTTGTATTTGAATGGGCTTCAGTGGTGGCTCAGACCCTTAAGAATCTGCCGGCAATGCAGGAGACCCTGGTTCCATCCTGGGATCAGGAAGATCCCCTGGAGAAGGGAATTGTTACCCTCCAGTATTCTTGCTTGGAGAACTCCATGGACAGAGGAGCCTGGCGGGCTACAGTCCATGGGGTCGCAAAGAGTCGGACACGACTGAGCAAAATTTACACTTTCAAACTTTGTTAATAAAAAGTAAACTATATAAAACAGGGCAAACTAGGCTAATCTGATTTTGTGCACTTGCTATTTCCATACGCAGAGCAAGTTTTGCTCTTTGAATCCCAGAAAATACTAGAAGAATGGGAGTAGATGACAGAACATCGACCATAAGTCTGTCTAGTCCCGACCACTAAAACGAGTGGGCTAGTCAGATCATGATCAAATGCCTAACTTTCACAAAGTCAAAGATAATCTAGGTTTGGCTGCTCTTTGCGGTTCCACTTGCATCATTTTTCTTTTACTGACTTCTTCCTTGCCTGGATAAAAATTTGCATTCTCGATTGGGATTTTCGTGGGGCCTAAAAATTATCCCTGAAAAAGCAAGTTTTTCTGGTTGGGTAAACACTGCCAAAATAAAGTTCTTCATTGCATATATAAATCCTTCTAAGGCAGGCCTTTTTCTCTCTCCTGGTCCAGGATTTTCAAGCTTTCAACAGCCAAGTAACGCGCTCTACTCGGTTGTGTATTCCCTGGGAAAGAATTCCTCCTTGGGGGCGATGGAAACGCTCTCAGTGAATTTTCTGGCACCAGCGGGAGTTTCAAGTTTCCACCGCCCGCGGGGAGGCGGCAGGCCCACTCCCAGCTCTGGGTTTGGGCGGTTCCGCTTCCTCGGGCATCACTCTAGCCCAGTCCCCCGCACGGAAGGAGTCGCCCACCCTCGTGCTCGGCCCAGTTCCTTCGGAACTGCGGAGTCGCGGCCGGGTCCTCGCGCGTCCCCGCCCCGGACGGAGACCCTCCCTCCCCCGGGCGACGCCCCGGCCGGCGAGTGGCCGCGAGCCCGAGGGGCTGGGCGTCGCGGGGCGCGGGGCAGCCCCGCCTCTCCCTCGAGGAGTCGCCGGGCAGCCATATTGCGGAGCTGTCTGCGGTGGCGGCGGTGCCTCTCCTCTCCGGCGTCCCGGCGCTCGCTCCACTGCCGCCTCTCTCTGTCTCTCTCCCTCTGCCGCAGCCGCGACGCCCGCCGCCGCCGCGCAGCGCCCCGGCCACTCTCGCGGCGGGAAGGAGCCGCCCGCTCCTGAGGTAAGCCGCCGGCGCGCTCCCTTCCCCCACTGCCGCTCCCGGGCTCCGCCGCAGCCGCTGAGGTGGCGGCGAGAAGTCCGGCGCCCCGTGCTGCCCGGGGGCCTCGCCGCCAGGCCCGCGGCGTCGCATGTGTTAGCGGTCCGGCCGGCCAGGCCGCTCCCGGGGTCGCGGACGCCGCGAGGCTTGGCCAGCGTCTCGGCCGCGGCCTGAACTCGCCGCCGCGAGCTGCTCCCCCCCGGGCGCGGGTCCGCCCTCAGCGTCGGCCCCGGGCTCGGTCGGGCTCCCGCCGCTCGGGCGCCGCCCCGGGCTCGGCCTGGCTCGTCCCTTTTAGGCAGTTTGAGAATTCAGATTTAAGCTTAGGAAAAATGACATTTTTTTTTTGCTGTGGTAGGGAAGGAATTGTTACCACTTCTCCCCGGTCTCCGATTTGAGAGTAAAGGTGTTGAATTACTAGAGAGCGTGAGTTCCGCCGTGGCGGCAGAGGGAGGTTGCGTGACGGGGCTCGGGGCGCGAGCGGCCCCCGCACCCGCGCGGCGGCCCTGGCGGCTCCGGCCCCGGCCATAGCTTCTGCTGCTGCTCTGAAGTTGCAGGCGCCCCCGGAGCCCCGTAACTTTCTCCGATTTTGTATCTTAGATCCCAGTAGACAAGTTGAGTACATTGCAGTCCCCTCTTCCTTTAAAGGGTTGTAAACGTAATTCTCAGGCTAACTTTGAAAGGGGCGGTCGGGGAAGCACTATATTATTTTAATTTAAATAGAGCACATCACATCCTCTCCAGATGTAGCATGGTTCTTTATTCATACCGTGTATTGAGCGTTTTTTTCTTTTTTTAAAATACCATTAAGGAGTGGATTATTAGCGAGGTTGGCAATGTCTTGAAAGTCAGCTTCTATCAACGATATGTTTTAAAATCTACTTGAGATTTTTGTCGAAATTTTAATGAGTTCTGTGGCAATAGACAAGCATGGTGTAAATGTAGATACCTAACATAGTAAGCATTTGTTTGATAAACGAGCGCTCGAAAATAGGCATTGCAATCTATTGTTTACCGAGCATACATTTTTTTTAGAGCACTAAATACTCTTTTATATGTCGGATGGAGCTCTGAATGAACAATTGCCCCGTTCATTTGCTGGATAAATAATGGCTTAATCCATTTGCCATAACAGCATTATTAGAGTTAAGAAGAGAGACTAATATTCAGGGTTGCATTAAAATTTTTTTCAGTATTACATTATTTTCACGTGTGCATTGTCTTCCAAAGACTAATAATTACTTCAAATGTGGTAAAAACGTAAAACATTTCTTTTGAAGTTAGTGGATTGTAATTCATCTGTAAAATAAATTGCACTTTGTTTCTTTTGCTTAGTTACTTTTTAAAGATACATAATGGTATTAAACAATTTTTTTTTTTTTAGTGAGGGATGAATAGATACACATTGAAATTCTTTACAGGCTATTTAAATGAAACAAAATTTGTGGCTTTTAGGAATGTTGAATTCTTGCCCTTGTGGATTATACATCGTTTTGTTCACTACTGTATTTCCAAGCCTGGCAGAGCGTAGGAGAGACTCAGAACTGAAATTAATTTCAGCATGGGGAAAGTATGTTTAGTCTGTCCTTTGTTTTGGACATTTGCATTAACTGGAAATTAAATTGATATCTTTTTTCTGTGGTGGTGAGAAATGACAGATTGCTGTTCTTTCTCTCTTTTGCTAACAGTAGTCTTAGAGAACAAGGGTTATTTCTTGATTTTTTGTTTTCTCTATTCCCAGGAGCAGAATTGGATTTTATTATTCATTTTTCTCTTTGGCAGGCGGTTGAAATAAAAGTCTTTGTGTATTTTATCTTAATTTCAGATCTGAATCTTCTAATATAATCTAATGTAATTTTCTAGTACAGTGGAGTCTGAAATCTTCAGTTAGGATGGGAGTCAAGTTTTTTCATTTATTTTTAACTTAATTCAACTTAACATACATCATTTCAAAATGACAAATTTTAATCAATATTTCCCAAAGACCAAAGCCTAAAAAAGTGTGTCCTGTTAAGACTGTGAGGATAGTTATGTTGGTGAACATACTTGATAAAGAATAGTTAATATAATACTATGCGATTGGTGTAAATCTGGGAAGTCAAGAAAGTCACCCTTTCTTGGATGGCTTGGATGTCCTACAGACCAGTAGCTCTTCTCGGGACCCTGATAACTACCGTTGGCTTACTGGAGTCAGTGGAACTGGATTGGATTGCTGTAAATTCCACTCTTACAAGGTGATTTTAAACCTCATGGTGTCAGAAGCCCTTCAGGGAACTTCCCTAACTTCTGCAGCAAGTATATGCTCATCTGTTGAGTGGTAGGTGGCCAGTCTGACCTCAGAGATTTCCTCAATTTCTAGCCTCTTTCAGAGGAATCCTGCTTTACTGTTTATATTAGTTCTTGGTATGTTTTTCAATCTTCATTTACATTCCATGTATTTTAAACCACTTTACATGATTATAAAATTAATAAATTTTATGACAAAGTTAAAAAAAAAACAGAAAGATGTTAAAAGTTCTCCCCAACTTCCCAGAACACCCCCCGGTCTTGTTTTTCAGAGATAATTGCTCTTAGCCATTCCTAGTAAATAGAAAATGCCAATATTTATGGAAGGGTAAATATATACTTTATATATATTCCTTATTTGCAATTTTAAAGTCTTTAAAAGTAAGCTTATTTTGTAACAAACAGTGAAAGGATGTTTGTTTATTACCATGTTGAGCATTCAGTACTTAATATTTCTTGGATTTTCATCACTTGAAATTAGAATGGAATTTCCTATAAGAAGTGTTTACGTACCTGTGTAAATTTTTTTCATGATTGAAGGTGAACTCACTTTGTTTTCTTCCTAGGGTGTGGTATATAACTGACACTGGAAAATATCCTTTAAAAAAGGGTTTATGATTTTGGATAGTGAAATGTGCCGATGATAGATACAGGTTTTTACCTGGAAACTGTTTGGAAAGAAATTGTGGTTCATAAGATTCACTTGTTTATTTCTTCTTTCCTTTTAATAGTGAATCCAGTTTATCTTCTTAGAGAGTTTTTTTCAGGTTAGTATTTGTATAGGTTTTTTTTTTCTTTAATATTATTCATTTTTGAGTGCATTGGGCCTTAGTTGCAGCACATGGTGTCTTTGTGCTGCATGAGCGATCTTTCCTTGGTGAGCAGGGGCTTCTGATTGAAGCGCATGGGCTCCAGAACGAGTGAGCTCTGTAATTGTGACCTGCGGACATAGTTGCCCTGTGGCATGTGAGATCCTAGTTCCTTCTTCTTTGGAAGGTGGACTCTTAACTGCTGGACTCCCAGGGAAGTCCCTGTATAGGTGTGTTTTTTTGTTTTGTATTTTTGAATAGCCAATATGTATAGAAAATCTTGCACATTCATAAGAGTTTTATTTTTTTTTCCTATTGCAATATCAGTTACCTTTCAGCAGAATTCTGAAGTACATTTTATAGAGGCTAGTTATATGTATCAATAAGGTCATCGGACTTTCTTTTACAATCAGGTGATCTAATATGAACAGAATGGTCTAGAAACATTGTTTCTTTTCTGCTTTTCTGCATAATTTACTTATATTTGAAAATAAACAGTTTTAATTCTAGTAAAGTTGATTTATTGCAAAATGACATTCTCTTTACTGTTAAGAAGAGATCAGCAAGCTACTTTGTAGACCAAATTCAGCCCACTACCTGTTTTTGTAAATAAAATTTTATTTCAGCGCATGCTAGCTCATTGGTTTACCTGTTGTCTGTGCTTGCTATCGTGCTCCCACAGAGAGCGGTTGCAACAGAGGCTTTGTGGGCCGCAACACCTAAAAGGTTTACTTAACCTGGCCCTTTGCAGAAACGTTTGCTGACTCCTGCTTTAAGGTATCATCCATACATTTCGACCTTTATGATCAAATGCCAGATACTCTTTGCACTTGTTAAGTAAGATAATGAGACCATCACACTTTAATGGGAATATACTCGTGCCATTTTATATACCATGAAGTGTATTTAAATGCTCTTTGTGTATATAAACTGTAATTCATATTCAGTGTAACAGTATTGTAAGCACAGTTTTTTGTGATGCAAATTCTTTTTGTTTTGTACTAAAAAAAACTTGTTTCTTTAAATTAGCTAATAACCTTTTTATAACCAGAGTAATTTTTTGTAATCAGAAATCCTGGTAGTACTCAGAATGATGTGGGCATGAGTGTAATAGAGGGACCATTAAAAGGGAGAATGGGGTCTTAAGGAGATCTCAGCCCCGGTTAATTGAATCCAGTCATGCCTTGACTTTTATTGAGAGTGTGGGATGGACTAAACTTTCATTAGCCATCCTTAGCAGTCTTGATATTTAAGTTGTTTCTAGATTCTAGACTGAAGGAAACTATAAAATTCTAGTTTGGTTATTAAGCAAAGTTGGTACTCCAAATCTGTGCATTTTCCGAAGCTTGACTAAAAGTATTCCGTTGGGGTGGGGAAGAATTCTGAAAGTTCGGAAAAGTAAAACTTGAATTTGCTACATGCTGGCAAGTATTTACATAGCATTTACATTGTATTTACAATGATTTACATAGCACTTAACATTGTATTTACAGTTATTTACATAGTATTTACATTGTGTTAGGTATTATAAGTAATGTAGAGATAATTTAAAGTATGTGGGAGGATGGCTATAGGTTATATGCAGGTATAGTTTACATGTATATGTGTGCATGCAAGTCTCTTCAGTTCAGTTCATTCACTCAGTTATGTCCGTCTCTGCGACGCCATGGACTGTAGCCTACCAGGTTCCTCCATCCATGGGATTTTCCAGACAAGAATACTGGAGTGGGTTGTCATTTCCTTCCAGAAGATCTTCCCAACCCAGGGATTGAACCCAGGTCTCCTGCATTGTAGGTAGATGCTTTACTATCTGAGCCACCAGGGAAGTCTATATGACAATTATAGATATTATTAGATGTGTCAAATTAACTG